AGATCCAAAGTTCAATATGTAATTAACACATTTATATACATACTCCTAGACAAATACAATGTTTATTTCTAGTGAAATAGAAAACTGGCATATATGCTTTTTATAGACTTTATAAAGAGAACAACCTAGCTAGCTAAAGAATGCTTAGAGATAAGAATGCTAACTATAGTTGACTGTACAAGAGTTATCATATGTAAATAATTATGAGGATAATTATTAACGGTTGTTTTACTTCGATAAATTATTTAGCCATATATAGTTTGACTTGTAATTATTGATCCAACAAAAATAATCCAAATAAAAGATTTTAAACATATATTTACAATTGAACAAAATATATTGGTCCTAATCTAACGTCATGCTTCTAGTGACTTGCAATTCCTCTTATTATAGATAGTTTGGTTTGTACTGGTATAATACTTTAACTCTTCATTACCAGTAAGATTGAAACAAAAAAAAAAAGAAAAAAGTAAGATTGAAAACCAAAAATTATACTTATGTTAAATCTTTAAAACTAATGCTCCTTACTAAAATATCATTGAACCTATAAAAGGGCATAATGATGGATACTCTACTTCAATAGTCTGATCTATATATACTCAACTTTTCATTAATCTCAAAGGCAACCTATACCACTAACAATTAAAATCAAGTTGAAATACTACAACACAAATAATAATATCAATCATCATAAGACTAATATGAATATTTCAAGCCGCGTCTCAATACTACGTACTGAATAAAAGCAGAACTTAACATCATAATTTAATAACCTTAAAATTGAGTTCATGTAATTATCTACTAATAGGTTCACCAGAGTTGCTTGTTGTGTAGTAGTGGTACGAAGGACTGACAATGATTATGACACAATTTATTTATTGTTTACCAAAGTCTATCAGAGTAAAAATAATACGAGACATCAAAAACTTTGACTAATATATCCACCATCATCTAATAATGCTTATATAATACTCCATATTTTATTATAATAAGGTAACAATGAAATCCTAAATCAATAGCATACAATCAAGCATAATAATCATGGAATCATAGGGAATAAACTAATAATACTTAGTGTTGGGCTGTTAGCATTTTGCAACATCTTCAATGCAGGGTTATCAAATTGCGTTGTTCAAGCATATAAGAAGATTATACAAAGATAAATTATTTAATCATTAATTTTAATAAAAGTAAGCATCAGTAAAACTCCACACAACATATATAAAATCGGAATATTGTTCAATCGTAACACAAAAAGGGTGATGAGTTCATGATAAATTTCATACTAACTAATCCAATAAATATAAAACACTAACCTTGATGATGATTGATTTCCCTCATATTTTCGTCCAGTTAATCGGATAGTATAGGTTTTTTTTTGTCTCCGTTTACTCAATCAATTATGATTGATTTTAGGTTTTTTTTTCCTCGTCGGATGGCAATGGTGCTGATAACGTGTTATAAAATTAAAGAGTAAGAGGGAAAAGTGGGGGAGAGAATAGATTGATCTTCTTATTAATGAATTGATGTGGGAGTATATATATACATGTGATACAATTAGGGTTTCCTTGTAAAATAATAAGTCTAGTATATCTAGAATATTCTAGAATTATCATAAGGGTATGATGGACATCCACTAAATACATATATTATATAACAAAATATTTTTTTTTTACTTGTATTATACAATTAAATTCTAAAAAAAATCGTCTAAAAAGGAAGGGAGAGTTTTGGAGGGAAAAAAGAGCATTAGGATGTGACATATGTCACTTTCAGTGTCTGGTTTAGTATTAAGTTATTGATTGATTATTGATGTGACATTAATAGGTAAAAAAATTTAAATTACAATAATTTGCGTTAAGTTGTGAATAAATGAGTTTTTTTGCTAACCATGGTTGAGAATTAAATTAGGTAGAAGCATTAGCATATATTGTATTGATTTACTGCTTGAGTTCCGTCAACCAATTTTTTTTTTTAGGGAAACGCAGCGAGCAAAATATATTACTCAAGGGACAAAGCGTCCGAGAGTACATAGGGAGTAATTTTCGATGGACAATGATTAATCCATACTTGTTCTACCCAAAAAGTTATCACCTTAGCTAGATGATGAACCAACCAATTTCCTTTTACACCATCTTTCACTCTTCCTCTGTCTCACAGCTCTAGACTATTTTTACTTTATTAAAATTTAAAATATACTCCACTATTTTATTGGCTTTGTAGAGTCCTATAGTTAATTGATTCCTTAGATCTAAATGCTTATACATATAATTAATCATTCAAAGAGGAGTAGTCGTAGCAGCCACTTTTTCTTTCAAAGAGGCAAAGCATGTTCAATTATCATCATGTAGCAGCAACTAACGTATGACAATTTCTTGTTAGTTAGTCAATTGTTATGGAGGAAATTAGACTAACTATGATAATTAAGTAAGGTTAGGACTATTTCCCTACCTTATAAAAAGTTTAAGAAAACTCTTATGAATAGTGCATGGACATTTATATCCCTAAAAATATTCTTTTATATATTTGTCCCCATTTGTTTTCAAAAGCATTAAAATTGCCTCTTGAATTCCCCTAAATTGATTTAAAAAGTTATGTTTATATCTTTTAATCTCTCCATTTAATTATTAGACATTTATATTTCTAGATTGAACTCAATATCCTTTTACCGTTGAGTCACTAAATCAAAGTAGCACAATTAAAGTTTTGAACATTGCACAACTACACTATATCGATCCAACACATTTACCGTCTACATGCAAATAGTTTTTGTTTAGGATAAAAATACCCTAGACACGTGGACCAATCAGGTCGTGACACGTATCACGCTAGAAGGTGCCCAAAATGGGCCAACTAGGATAAGACACGTGGCACACTCATCATTAGGAAAGGCACACTCTCCCAAGCCCTATAAATAGGGACATTTATTACCTTGGGAAGTGCACTTGAGAATTATTACATCAATCGTTCAATACACTATTCACTTACTATAGTGAAATCTCCTAGATCTTGGGATTTGAGAAGAGCAATTTAAAATTTCCGCATTTTACTCAACTTCGACAATTACTAACTTGATCGTCGGAGGCGGAATTTCGAACAATCGGTGCTTCCGTTTGATGCATGTACAGGCGCCCGAAAATCCAGTCTTGCAGTTGTAACTCTCCCGCAGGACACATAAGGAAACCCCGAAACAGTTTTAATAAAATATTGCCATCAAGTATAGGGCATAGAGGATATCGGTAATAATTCTTCTTAAAGTGTTAGCCATACCGCGCGCATTGGAATCGCTAGTAACAGAAAAAAGTTTCATTGAATAGCATTTAACCCTTTTTTTTTTTTAAGGGATTTTTCATTTGGTACCATTATAGTTTTGATTTTTCCATTTGGTACCCAATTTTTAGTTTTACTCCACATAGTACCATTGTAATTTTGGCTTATTCTTTAGGGTAATGCTATATGTAGCCCTAAGGGTTATATATAAGCATTAAATACACTTTTGAAAATTGTATAAAATTAGGAATTCAAGACAAAAATACGCGCAAATCAGAGTAATTAGTGTTTATATTTTTATGATTTCTTAAATTTATACTATTTTCTAGTGTATATTTAATGCTTATATGTAGCTTTAAGAGCTATGTATAGCATTTTCCTATTCTTTACTATAACATCTCGTTAAATGTAACATTAATTTGGGGCGATTGTGGTCCTTTTTTTGTTTTTGTTTTTTTTTCCTTCGATTTCGACTGCAAATTTTGATCCTTTATAATGACTCCCAAAACTTTAACCGAACATTTTTTTTTTTGCACGAAAACAAATTGAAATATACAAATTGAGAAATTTAAACAAATTGAAATATACAAATTGAGAAATTATTCTTCACATAGACCGCGACATTTTTAAGCATTTTTTTTTTTTTTTGCTTATTTCGACCTCTAACTTGAACCTTAAGGCTGCTAAGGGCTAAAACATCCTCTTAAAATTTTAATTGATCAATTTTAATGAAACTCAAATTGAACAATACATAATATATTTGATGGAATGCTAAAGTAGAGAATAAATTGAAACTATAGTGATACCATTTATAATAAAACTAAAAATTGGGTACCAAGTAAAAAAGCCCAAACAACAATGATATATACCATATGAAACCCCCCCCCCCTTTTTTTTACCTATTATGTCAAGTTTAATGACTTTTTTTTTTTTTTTGAAATAAAGTTTAATGACTAATTAATAGTTATTAGTTAAGGGGTTATATTTGATAATGAAAATTTCTACATTATAACCCTCTAGTTTTGCGTTTTCTACGTTGTGCCCATCTTTTTGAAAGTTACACATTGTAACCCTTAGGTATAATTAGTAACCATACAGTCACCTTAACGTTAACTTGTTGCTAACAAATTCCGTTATGTTTTTTTAATCACCATTAGTGGAGCCCACTCTCCACTAAATAATATTTTTTTTATCGATTTACATGATGAAAAATGTTCTGTTAAAGGTTTTGGGGCCGTTTTGGCCATTATGGGTCCAAACTAAGCTTAGATTTTGCAAAAAGAATAACTTAAATGCCTTGTTTTGCATATGACACGCAAATCGAAACATCTCTTAATACGTACGGGGCATTTACGTTATTTTTTTGCAAAATCTAAGCTTAGTTTGGACCCATAATGGCCAAAACGGCCACAAACCTTTAACGGAACATTTTTCATCACGTAAATCGATAAAAAAATTAATTAGTGGAGAGTGGGCTCCACTAATGATAATTTAAACAACATAACGGAATTTGTTAACAGCAGAATAACAATAAGGTCAACGAATGGTTACTAAGTATACCTGAGTTTACAATATGTAACTTTCAAAAAGATGGGGCACAACATATTAAACACGAAACTAGAGGGTTATAATGTAGAATTTACCTTTGATAATTTTAAAAATTGGAATTCACCATTGAGAAACTAAAAAAGTAACACAAACTATTGGGTGCGTCCGCCTGCACCCAACGGTTTGTGCGGCAGCGTTGGTGGTGCGTGCTACATTTCCTCCCTTCTCTTTCTTTCTCCTTCTTCTCTTCCCTTCTCTCCTGCGATTTGGTGGTGTATTTCGGTGGTGCGATATGGGTTCGATTTGGTAGCGCGATTTGTTGGTGGCGATTGGGGTGCGAGTTGGGTGCAATTTTTCTGGCGATTTGGTGGCTACTTGGTGCATATTGGTGGTGGTGATTTTCTAGCGATTTGGTGGCTACTTGGTGCATATTGGTGGTTCGGTGCTGATGGCTGTGGCTGGGTATTTGCAGTGAAAAGGTGCGGCTGTGTTTTGGGTGGAGGTGGTGGCGATGTGGGCTGATTAGGTGGTGTTTGTTGTTGGGGGGTGACGTGGTGTTGGTGAATTGGATCGGGAAGGTGGCGCGGGTGGTGGTGGTTGAATTTGGAGTTTGAGTTTGTAGTTTGAGAAGGTTGTTGGCTGATACATTTGAAAGAAAGAGAAAGAAAGAGAGGAATAGGGGGAAAGAGGAGAGAGAAGGAAATAAAAATATGTTGTTAATCATATTAGCCAATAAATGACACATATAAGCCAATAAAAATAATATATAAGCCAATTGATGTTTGATATCAGTCAACATTAGTGACGTATCAAACATTAATAAACGTATCAGCCAACAAAAGAAAACTATGAGCTAACAAAAGATACATATCAGCCAACAAAAGGAATATATCAGCCAACAAAAGGAATATATCAGCCAACAAAATGTACAAATAAGCCAACAGAGGATGCATATCAGCCAACAAAGGATGCATATCAGCCAATAGAGGATACATATCAGCCAACAAAAGGATGAAATCAGCAAACAAAAGCAATATGTAAGTCAACAAAATAAACATATCAGCCAACAATTAAAATATACATATCAATCAACAAAATAAATATATTAGCCAACTAAAGAAACACTACGCACAACCATTACAAAACCGATGGAGTTAAACAGAGTACGTTTTCCAGAGTTCCCCCAATAGGCCACTGGTTCCACTCCCCAGTCCCTAATATTCAAATCCGACAAATCAATTCAAAAGGGCTTTAAATGGCACTCCACACAAAACTTGCAACGGTCGTCTACCTTTTCTAACATCTAATACCCTAATACACTCAGAAATCTTCTCCCAATCATTCAAATAAGCTTCTAGATGGTTCTACAAATGGCGAAATCTCTCTATGAGGCTCAAAACGCCATAGACTTTACTGATTTAGAGGATTCCGATTACAATGAATTTGGTTCAGATGATTCTGAAGAAGACCCATCTTATATTGATGATCTTGACAAGTTTCAATCCAATTTATCAATCAATTCAAAATCAATTTCAAGGTAACATTCCACCTTAAATTCCTTTAATTTTAATGGGTTTTTTTTTAATCAAAATTCAATTTTTTACATCAATCTTTAAGTGGGCACTTCAGATTTTTTTTAACCCAAATTTCCAATTATGTTGGGATTCTAGTGACAGAGATTATGCAGAAACACAATTAGATGATGAGGAGGTCTCAGATACGAAAGAATTAAGTGCACCAAAGCTTGGAATTAAAGATATGAAGGATCTTGACGAAATTCAGAGAGTTATAGACAGTAAGTAGTTATAAAATTTTAGGGCGTTTTTGGTGTCATCATTGTAGCATTCAACTTTTTGTTTTTTGATTTAATAGTCGTATGATGTATGTAGTGTTATATAACAAACCTAAAATTAGACTTATGATTTCGAAAACCTCATTTTAAAAGTACTGAAAATCGAATACAAAAAACGATAACGAACAAGCCCATAATGTAGGAATTAAACTATGTTGTTATATTGGCAGGTGGGTTGGTAGAGAAATTGAAGGTTGAGCAATGTAAGGTGTATTTGAGGAAACACGGGTTGAGATTGACTGGGAAGAAAGATACCCTTGTCCAAAGAATTAAGGAGCACTCAGAGTAATGTTGCATATGTTCATCTGTTGTGTAACATTTTTAAATTTAATGAGGTGTTTTTATTAAATTTTGGTTGTCTTTAATATTCAGGATTATGAATGGGGGAGGAGAAAAGAAGTTTCCACCATCAAGCTTTGTGTTAAACTGCAAGGGTAAGTGGATGCTTTTGAATTTCATTTGATAAGATTAGGATAAATGAGCAGAGTTGTATTAATGATTAGCTAGTTAGGGTCGAAATGTTTAGGAGATTAGAAAATTGTTTATCATTGTCTAACGTGTAGGAAAGCATCTAAATGATCGCGTTTAGGCATTTTTAAGATGTTATGTAAGGTGATACTATGAAATTAAGACAGAGATCTATTGTGTCCTATGATTGTAACGTCATATGGTGGGATGTATGAGAACAATATCATGGGATGTTAATTGAGCAGAGTTGGATACTTGATTTATGATAAATGTAGCTAGCTAGGATAAAAATGTTTGGGAGATCAAATGATCTTGAGTATTGACTGATGTGTATAGTAAAACATCGAAATGATTAAGCTTAAGGTTCTTTAAGAAGTTGTTATGCAGTGTAGTACTATGAAATTTAGATGAAAATCTATTGTGCCCTATAATTCTGATGTCTAGGGTGGAATACTGGAATGTATGAGCACAATATCATTTCGTAGAAATTTTAATGTACCTCAGTTTTGCTTTATTATTCCCGCTTTTGTATATTTTCTGCAATACTTCAATTTGATTAACATTAGAGGGTAATTTACAGGTGATGCCTGTATGGGGGACATTGTGATGTTTGAACAAACTGTTTATGAAGGGTAATTTTCCTATTGACTTTGCAGAGTTGCAATTTCTTCTGAAATTCCTCATACATTTTGTCCATTGAATTTTATTAGATTCTCTTGCCCTTGCTTCATTCAAAGCAATTGCTTGTTGCAGGTACAGTATCGTCTCTAGGAGTGCTACTGGTCCTCCATGCGGTAAAAGAATAGTTGCTGGTCGCATAGTGAAAGAAAGTTATGGTGCTGCCAAGCAGCAGCATACATTTACGGTTAGTTCTGAATCCGTGCTTAGTATATTTTACGGTGTTATACTTGGTGTGTGATGAGAAAATGGACTATAATATACTCTGCAGACTGTAGATTTCCCTGCTACATCATATTTTACATTTTTTACACCCATATTCAGCTCAATTTACTGTCTCCATTTTGTGCCTCTAATCATGTAGCCTTAACATGGAGATTACTGGCAGAGGGAGGGATATAGCATTTGTATTACTTGTACCTGTAGGAATATGTTATCAGACTCATTTATTTAGTGCTGAATTCCTGATCAAATGGCGTCTTAATTTTATCTTCTAAGTGTTTTTCTTTCTTCCATGATAGTTTATCATGATAGGACAATACTAGACCCTTTATGCTGATTATCTTTAAATGCCAATTTTTTTTTTTTTTTCTCAATTATCATTTATCTTGGCAGCAAACATGCTTAAAGATTTGGTATTGACCATCTTTCAATTGCCAGGTTGAGGTTCTCTGGAGCAAAGGCCACAAACCACTACCTCCACTTCATCCCCTCTTAATTAAGGGCAGAAACCTCTACAGATTGAACACATTGAGGCAGGTGAGCAATTAACAAACTTTTTTCGGCTCTTTCCATGCTGACATTTATGATTTAGATTGTGATTACTTAGAAGTGGTTGCAATTGTCCCCCAATATTAGAGATGGGAAGATGAATCAGAAAGACAGCAAATTTTGAGCGAAAAGCATTGTAGGGGCTCCCTCGCCCGATCAAATAGAGAAGCCCGAATTCAGGAAAAGGTATCAAAGAAGATGCTCAAAGGAGCCAGGTATGGTCATAACATCACTTGTTTCTTAATTATGTTGAAATACAAGGATAGATGAGAGTTGGCCTGTTATGTCACTTAGAAAGTTGGCATTACTCTACTGCAGGATTTGTCCAAAAGAAAGACAACATTTACGTCAAGAGAAGAACCATAGGCTTGCAACAGGTCAAATCTCCAACTATGATTCAAAAAATGTAGGAAGCAAGGCTCAGAAGCAACATACAGTGGCAAAGAAGATTCAGCAGCAGCAGCAGACTAACAAAGATGAGAATCTTAAGGTTCCTGTAGAATATAAAGAGAATTCATATGTAGGATTACCTATATCACAGCCATCCCGACAGATTAAGCCAAATATACCAGCTTCTGATACATATGTAAAGCCAACTTCGAGACTGTGCTTGGGATACATCGATCTAAATTCTTCTCTGTCTCACATTGCCCCTGCAAAATTTCAGCAAATACTACATCCACAACACCTGCATCATTCTGTTCAGACTGTTTTAAAACCTCAGCCATTACAGCAGAAAACATCAAGCACATCAACCTGTCATTTCTATCAGAAGCTGAGCTCTTGCTTCATTGACAATGGTAACTTCATAACTTCTGCCTCCTCATTATTGCACCCACAGAATCAGTTACTTGTTTCAAATAGAACATCATTGCACAGTTCATACGGTAGAAATCATCAAAAGGAACCACAGCAGCTGTGTCGACACTATCCTCGAGGCAAGTGTTACTACGGGACTCGCTGCAAGTTTTTGCATGTATCCAATAGGAACTATGATAAATTTTAGTTGACACCGAAATTCTGTGTGAATTACATTTTGATGGAAACTGTGCCCCTTCCTTTTGTTATCTCAATTTATAAAATTTTCAAAGAAGAGAGTTATTGTGTATAGCAAGACCAAACTTTTCTTGAAGTTTTGAACCATGACTATCTTCAGCTTGAGAATTATACTTTCTTTTGGGCATGACATTACTGTTTTATAATGACTCACATTTATATACGTACATCGGTACACACTTATATAGTGTAGGCCAGGTGCCCCAGGCCAATGTCCTGCATTAGCTATTCCAGACTTCCAGGACCAGGTTGTGCCTGGCCTAAACTGAACTCAACAAACCGGTACTGGGTATCATGTTGGCCCTGTCCAGTTCTGAGTCTTCGGATTAGTGTATTGTATGCCTTTATATCCTTTTTTTTTTTTTTTTTTTAACATCACAAGAGCGAAGAGGGAGTAAAAACAGCTAGGAAAATGTATGGTACGATGTTCCTCGTTTATGAGGCAATCTTCAAAACTTGTTTAAGCTCGGCTTATCATTACATAAATAAATACAGTATAAACAAGCTTATAGAAAAATGATGGGAACTTGTGTCTGGTGTTGGCTGTCAACATTCTCATAAGTCACAGGTGAAGTGTGTTTTTTATACTTCCTCTGTTTTTTAAATATTGCACATTTGCACCACTTAAAGTTTCACAAACTTTGCACTATATCCATTTTAGGAAACAAAATATATCTGTTCACACTATAAATACCCAATATACCTTTACTTTTAACACTTGATTCTTTACTTTATGTTTACATCACATGAATAATTATGTATTTTTACCTTTCTATCTTTCTTTTCCCCACTATTAAAAAAAGTGTGTCCAACCCTTATAGTAAGATATTAAAAGAATGGAGAAGTAATATAAAAACACAAAAGAAAAAACTAAAAAATGATGACTCATATAGGACAAAAAAAGACGGTCCCATATTTCCTATGCATGTCATCAAAACCACTTCTATCTCAAATTGTAAAGTTCTCTCTACACATTTCTCAAATTTATCATCAATTATCATCCTGAGTTTCTGAGGCATCAAGTTGTTCATGTATGTATGTGCTCAAATTTTATATTTGGTTCAAATTTTTTATTGTTGAATTCACAGTTCATTTACAATAATTATTGGGTTAGTCTGTGAATTGTAGAAAAAAGAGAGATGAATATTTGTACCTTTTGTGAAAATGAAACATAAGCAAGAACAAGTCCTGAAAATCATGTTCAATACTACAGTTTAAGGTTCTTATGTTTAATCCGAGTGAGTGGATTACATCACATAAGAGCTATAATTACAACTGGATTTTAAGGTTTAACTCCCTCGACTCAGAATTAATGTTCACATATACTATATTATACTATCCGAACTTGTTACCAATCCTAATATAATTAGTGATTGATTAACTTTCGCAGTATGTAACTACTTTAGTTATTTGATGGGGGGACGATGATATCGACCCAATTGTTAGAGTGTCTTTTGTAAATTTTGTGATGAGTTGACACACACAATGTGATAACTAATTCGGAACCGAATAACTTATACACCTCCAGCTTCAAGGATCTTGTTGGAAGATCTTGGAGTGTAGTTGATTTTTCATTTTTCCTGATTTTTCAGTAATAGAGGATATTTCAAGCATAATATACATTGACTTTTAGCTCATGAATGGGCCAAAAGGCTAAAACTTTCAAGAAATATTGTTCCTTTCTCTCTTACCTCTTTGCATGTTAGCATATTGTTATACAATATTCTGGGTCCATGTTCTATTTTGCAGAAATAGCCCTGTCTTAATCAAGTTGAGATTTATTTTGATATCGCTTGAGAAAATTCGAATTACTTTTACTTCTGTACATGTGAATTGAAATATCCAGATTACATTATTTGTATTTTGTAACCTGTTGATGTAATGAGAAGGACTTTGACTGCTCCTATTTTCTGATGTAGTTAACATTTAGGATCCAGTATTTCAGTGAGTGCATCAGGCTGTTAGGAATGTTTTCTATTCTTTCCTGTGACAATGTCAGAATAGTATGATTAAAATTTAGTTTCTCAGCAGGATAGATGGCAACCGAGCCTGTTAATGTAAATGAGTATCAAGAACTGGCTCGTCGAGCCCTTCCCAAGATGTACTATGATTTTTATGCTGCAGGAGCTGAAGATGAGCATACATTAAAAGAAAATGTCAAAGCATTCTCCAGAATCAGGTACTTTTAATGTCAATATTTAAAGTGTTGATAAGTTGTAGCTATGATACCCCTCTAAAGTCAGAACATCTGAAATAATTGCAGCATCTGTCCGAGGATTCTTGTAGATGTGAGTCAAATTGATCTTTCGACCAGTATCTTGGGCTATCACATCTCCGCTCCAATAATGATTGCTCCAACCTCGTATCATAAGCTGGCACACCCTGATTTTAACAATCATAACACCTTTTTTGTATTGTAGTTTTAATATCAATAGATTTTATAAGCTGTTGCTCCTTGTGCTTACTGTAGGAGAAATAGCAACAGCTAAAGCTGCTGCTGCGAGTGAAACTATTATGGTACTTTTATAGTATATGTATTTGGCTGATTTTATGTTTCAACCTACCCATATTCTGTACTTAAGTCCCTTCAACTTACATTCATTCTAGGTGCTATCCTTTAGTTCTAACTCTACCTTGGAAGAGGTTTCTGCCTCCTGTACTGCTGTGCGTTTCTTTCAATTATATGCAAGTAATTTTTCTTAAGATTCAGCTGTTTTTAGTAGCATCTCATAAAAATTAGAAGCATTTTATGTAATGGAGAGACAATGTCTTATATTGCACCATATATATCATGAGAAGGTATTTAGAAATAGAGAAGTTTCAGCTTGGCTTGTTCAGAGAGCTGAAAAAAGTGGATACAAGGCTATTGTTGTAACTGTTGACACTCCTAAACTTGGTCGAAGGGAGGCCAATATAAAGAACAAGTAAGTTGGAGTTCTCTTAAATTCCATTTCTGAATAAAATTATTTTCTTCACTTGGAACAGAACGTTACAACCATTGCATGTCTCTATCATTTGCAGAATGATTGCACCTCAGGTCAAGAATTTGGAGGGTTATATGTCCACCGAAGTTGTCAACGTGAGTAGAAGAGTTTCTTTATCTTTTTAAACTCATAGCCATATTCAAAGAATGATATATGAACTCAAGAGTCCAGACTCAATTTAGCACATGAAACAAGATATATTTATTCATACAGAATATGACGTAGGCCTTTTCTTTCGAAACTCATGACAGATTGCATAATTTTGTGCTGCAGGACAAGGGTTCGGGTCCTCAAGCTTTTGCAAATAGTTATTATGACGCATCTTTCTCCTGGAAGGTATGAAGCAGCTGTACACTGTTTCTTAGCTCTTTTATATCTCCGGTAAATCATTGTATATGTTTAGTAAAGAAGGTTCCGCAAACTTCTTTTTCTCCTGACATCTGAAACATAAAGAGCACATTAAAAAGATGGAGGTTACAGAAATGCGCATGTTAAGGTGGATGTGTGGGAACACTCTAAGAGATAGAATAAAAAATGAGGTTATCCGCAAGAAAGTAGGTGTGGCAGGCATTGTAGACAAACCAAGGGAAAATCATTTGCGTTGGTTAGGGCATGTAAGACGGAGACCCGAGGGTGCACCAGTACGAAGAGTGGAAGGGTGGGACCATGGAGGGGTTAAACGAGGGAGAGAGAGACCGAAAATGACTTGGTTGGAAGGAGTTAGGAAGGATATGAAGTATATGGACTTGCATGAGGGTGAGTATTGGATCGTAAGAGATGGAGGAGGAAGATTTTTGTGACGACCACACGGAATAATTGTTTTTGGTTCATGTAGCTGACCCCATTTATGAGATTAAGGCTTTGATTGATTGATGTGAAACATAAAGAGTAGTAAAAAAAATTGCCTTTAAAACATAAGCAAAAACTCCTAGCACTACTTTGGTACAGTCTTCAGCATACAACTTGGACATAGCTTTATTGGTGTCCATCTTAACCGAAATTAGTTGAAGTTAAAATCATGTGTAGAACATGAAGATAAAGGTTGCACTCATCCTAATTATTGTTTCTTTTTCTCACAGATTGTAATCTAGTTGATCTCTAATTTTGTTCTATCGTTTGGTAGGATATAAATTGGTTGAAATCTATTACAAAGCTTCCAATCATGATCAAGGGTGTTCTCACACATGAAGATGGTAACATCAAGCTCCAAATTGCTTTTTTAGATGGTCTTTCATTCTTCTGTACATGGTTACAAGAAAAATCGAGTCACTTGGATATCAAAGAGTTCAATTTTCTACTATAGCAAACCTAGTGCTATGATTCCTGAAAAGGCCAAAGGCTGACCTTATCAGAAAAGTTAGAAAGACTACGATTTCTAATATATATATATCTATGCTATATCCATGGCAGCAACAAGAGCGGCAGAAATTGGAGTGGATGGAATCATAGTTTCGAATCATGGAGCAAGACAGCTTGATTATGCTCCAGCCACATTCTCTGTTCTCGAAGAGGTTCAATGTTCTCCACTCTCTCTTGATCTATCTTTTTTTGCTAGACTATTTCTTGATCATTTGGTTGATATATGAAGGACTAGCTTTTACTTCATAGGGGTTGATTATCACAAATTCACAACTGAACTTATTGCATACTCAAGACATCATATGCTGTTTACAGTTGTGCTCCACAAGTCCCCACCACACAGCTATAGTACTGAAGTTTATTTTCTCCCCAAGATGAGATTCAAAAGAGTTTAATGTAGCTAACCATAAACAATTGAACATTGTACTTCGTATATAATATCTACAGCATGGAAAATCATAAAGAATAATAATTATTAAGAGTTACTTCAACTTATGAAGACCGGTGTAGAAGCAAAAAAATTATATGTGATGTGTTTTGAGATGCACAACTCATGCATGGGCGGTTGGGCACCTGTGGCATGTCCACATCAAACTGATTTAGGTTGCATAAGTTCCATAGTTGTCTTTGTGTTTCTGACTTTATTAGATTGGCTGGATGTTGTCATACGGAAAAGGCTCAATGGATTTGTTTATCTAACATTGCAGGTGGTTCATGCTGTTGGAGGCAAAGTTCCTGTTCTCCTTGATGGAGGGGTGAGGCGGGAAACAGACATTTTCAAGGCCTTGGCACTTGGTGCGCGCGCTGTTCTTGTAAGATTACCTTATTTTTATCAAATTTCCATTCCAATTCATGTCATCAGCAATGTCACCGTAGCTCACACAGCAAATGTGAGTTGCTTGCTGTTTATTAATAGGTTTACTAGCATGATTCTTGTCACCGTAGCTCACACAGAAAATGTGAGTTGCTTGCTGTTTATTAATAGGTTTACTAGCATGATTCTTTCCATACACTCTCTTATTAGTCTATAGGTTAAAGTTTCAGACTTCGATTTGTATTATCACCAACCTTGTCAAAAACCTCTGCTTCCAGAATTGCAGAAGTTGGAAACTTTATACAGTAGATGAGATATATTTTCATAATTGAAGGAAGGGGTGGGGGGGAGTGTGCAAGAAAGCCACTGCTGGAAGGTCATATGAGGTTAGGACCTCTTTGTTTAGATGCTTGGACAATTTCTAGATAAAAATCCAATTGTACTACTGAAGGGGAATATTTTGCATAAGAAATCTAAAAATTAAGTCCTTATGCTAACCATGATTGTAGGGTATTCGCTCACTTGTTAGAGTTCTTACGATCTTGATTATCTTTTTAGGTTGGAAGACCTGTAATATATGGACTGGCGGCAAAGGGAGAAGATGGCGTAAAAAAAGTCATTGGACTGTTGAAGGATGAATTGGAGCTCACTCTAGCCCTTGCTGGCTGCTCCAGCATAAAAGATATCACTAGGAACCATGTCAGAACTGAGCATGAAAGACCTCAGTCCTTACTCTAAGCCAGCTTATACTAGTGCAGCTTGCCCTGAACAGCAAGTGTATCACTTCTGAAATGCATTGTACCAAGGATTACTTGTCGAACACTTTGTTTAAGTTTTTTCGCTGTCATTAACTATCAAAATCAGTCTATTTGAAATTTTAGGTGATTTAAAATGTATGATCTAAACGCATGAAATAAGAAGAGGTTTTTGAACATTTAGGTGATTTAAATTGTATTAGTGACTAGTCCTACTGACAACCAAATTAAAATGAGATCTAATTGAGATGATTCGGAGAGAAAGGAAGGGATTTCAAAAGTTTGAAAGATCCTAATTTTTTTTGAAACTGTAAATCATAACTATCAATGTAGTTCTAACATAGATGCTGAATAGACTTCAACATTTTGTGTGTTAGAATTAGAGGTGTCAATTCAGGTGACTGGCTCAAATTCAATCATGTCGGGTCTAATTTGAAGTTGGGTCATACTAATTGCTAAATCATTATGTCCATACAAGTCAAATTGTGCATACAAGTCAAATTGTGCATACAAGTCAAATTTTGGATCGAGTTACTTTTGGGTCAAGTTGGGTAGGGTGAGTTTTTGACACCTTTAGTTTGAATGAGAAAATGTAGAATGAATGGGAGGAGTTCCCTTACTCAGATATGACATGGGGAAAAGAAGGCCAGAAAAAAAATGGAAAGGAATTGGATGGATCTATTCCCCTTTCCCTTGTAACAAACTAATTCTGCCTCTATTGGAAAATTATTTGAATTTAAATTGACTGCCGACACTAGATGAACTATCACTGAACAAATAATTTACAATTAACCAAAAAACAACAATGAAGAAGTGAAAAATGCTTTATACAGATTCCCTACCAGGCATCTGCTAAAGATGCGGGATACTCCTAGGAGCTCTAGGTTAAGTCAAACTAACATTACTCAAGATAGACAACAATTTGTTAATACACAGCAACTTAATCAGCATATTAAAATGCTTCAACTACGTATTTGTAACAGAGTTGCTCTTGTTCACTCCTTGCAAGTCCATAGAAGAATTTGTGATGCTCCCAACAGAGCCTAAAGTTTGAGAGCTTAATGCTGGGCTCGCAGGGCACGCCTCTGGGTTACCAGTACTCATCGGATGCATGGGCCCAGAACTCAATGGTGGGCTCATTGGAGTCCGTTGCCCCATTTGCTGTGGGCTGGCCTGCTGTTGGGCAACCTGTTGATTCATTTGCTGGGGGATACCAAGTGTTGAAGGTGAACCCACCTGCGGGGGAGAAACCACAGCCTGGAGAGGGGATGTGGCCTCTTGCTGGGGTATCTGCTGCTGCAGTTGTGGCTGCGGTTGTTGTGGCTGCTGTTGTTGTGGCTGCTGCTGCTGCTGCTGCTGCTGCAACTGTTGTTGTTGTTGTTGCTGCTGCTGCTGCTGCTGCTGCTGCTGCTGCATATGTTGGAACTGCAAGTGCTGCTGCTGCTGAGTCATAGGAGCATTCATTCCTGGCATTAATTTGGCCATGCCCATCTGGCCCATTGCAGTCCGCTGCATTTGGCTGATGTTTCCTCTATTCAAAGATTGGTTCAGCATAGAGATCCCAGCAGGGCCTGGCTGCACTTGCCGGGTCCCACCTGGCATACCAGTCATCCCAGATTGAGTTCCTCCCATCATGCCTCTGCTTTGCATCATCTTCAAACGTTGAGCAAGGAGGGCAGCATGAGCTTGCTGAGGGGTGAAAGTTCCAGCACGAAGGTGCTGGCTTATCGCATTTGCCTGGCTCATGTTCAATGGGTTCTGACCCATGTTGCCCCCAATCCCTGAAATGGGACCTACCGGAGCAGAAATTCCAGATGCGCTCATTCCTCTTGCTCCACCAATCCCCATGACATTACCCAACCCTCCAAGGCCCATGTTGCCAATGTTCCCCATACCCATAGCAGGCCCAAGCCCCATCATCATCCTGCGTTGCATCTGGGTCTGGGCCTGGGATTGGGACTGGGACTGGGACTGCGGCTGCTGCTGCAGAAGTTGCAGAGGAGAAGGCTTATTACCTATGTGATTACCCAATGGCATATTCGCACCCTGCCCAAATGCATTCAATTGCGGCATTGTATTTGTTGGCAACATGAGGGGAGAACGTTGGAACTGAGATTGCGGTTGTGACATCAAAGACATTTGATTCTGAAGTGGCAATTGCTGTGGCTGTTGTTGCTGCTGAAGTGGTTGTTGTTGCTGCTGAAGTGGTTGTTGTTGCTGCTGAAGTGGCTGTTGTTGCTGCTGAAGTGGCTGCTGCGGGTCAATCTGTTGTGGTCTAGGAGGCATTGTGACCCCTGACAAATGTGCCTGAGATAACTGCAAGGCTTGTGAATTTCCAGGAGGGAGCATCCCAGAGTTAGGCAGGGTATTTGAGGTTGGATTCAGAGACGAGTAGGCAATGTTTGGCTTGGTTTCCATAGCTGTTTGCTGCCCAGAACCTGATTCTGGATGCTGCATATCAGCCACTGAATTATTAGGAGTGACTGCAGGTGCATTAGGTTGACTGTTTGAAGGAACAGTATTACGAGGTGGTCGAAGTTGGACTTGATCATCTGTGAAGTAGCCCTCACGATTCATCTGTATGACCAGTTCATCTCAGATTATTTATTTAAAAAAAAAACCAAAAACAAAAACAAATGAAGCAGACAATATTTCTTAAAATACAAATATTTCAAGAGCCACTTACCAAAGCACAAAACTGCACTGCAAGCAAATCTGCCAAATGCTGTCAAAATGTTAAAAAACCATAGTTAGTTTACATTAGGATGTAAGGTGTTATCAGAAGTATATCTCAATGCAGAAGAGCTTAAGACGCCTTTCAGAATTAAGAAATTTTTGAAGTGTAGTAACCCATAATAAACCCAGAAAAGTGTAATAACCGAGTCCAGAGACAACAATTTGAGCACAGAGACTTGCATCGGAAACAGTGTATAAAAAGACGCATCTGAGTGCTACACATCTTTTTTGGTCTTGGTAAGGCGTAAGGCAAATTCAATTTGGAAGGAGTTAGAAAGGATATGAAGCATATGGATTTGCATGAGAATGAGGTAATTGATCGTAAGGGATGGAGGAGGAAGATTTTTGTGGGTGACTACACGGAATAATCACTTTTGGTTCATGTAGCCGACCCCACTTATGGGATTAAGGCTTTGATTGATTGAAAAGGCAAATTCAGTGAGGCTCATTGAGGCGTACATTTTTTTTTCCAAATATTACTTCACTTTTAAGAAAAACCTGTTGCCTTAGTGTGCATTGAGCCTTTTTATCCATTGATCGAAGTCAGCAGGTACAGAATAGTTGAAAGTAAATTTTAATTTCTTTATTTTTTTGGTGGGGCAGGTGTGTGTGTGTGGGGGGGGGGGTGTTCAGCTCTAACATTATACTCCCTTCATCCCAGATTCATTTGCTCAGTTTCCTTTTTCATCTGGCCCAACTTAGTTTGCCCATTTCTATAATTGGGCAATGACCCACTTTTTTCATTACCTTTCTTTCCCCTACCAAAAGTTAGAGTCCTACGCTCTCAAGAATACAAAAATACTCCATCTTCCATCACATTTACTTTTTTTAATTATAATAACATTTGATGACCAAACACTAACTTCTCTTCTAAAACTATGTGCCATAATACGTCAGGACACTAAACTGGAACTAAGTTAGTAACTCACAGTATTAGGTAGTGCAGGCAGGTGATCTTCTGCATTGAGACAATCCGCAACTTCCAAGTCTCCATAATGCATTGCTACAGTGCCATCATTTGGCTTCTCGGACAAGATTAGTCTTGTCCTTACAGGGACAGAAAGCATATTTGCTGCAAGAATGAAAATGTTAAGGTCACATAAGTGACGTAACACTGTAAATAACAGGCATGTGTAAGTATATGAACAAGCAAACCTTGTGGCTGCACAGTAACAATCCTTATCTTGCATGCATTCATGCTCCCGCCAACCAGTGACTTTGACAAGCTTGTTGATATTTCATCCTTTGAGTATTCATAGTTGGAAGCATTAGAAAGACAGAGCTGGAGTTCCTGTGAGGAAGATGGTCGAGACCTCCTAGGGTATTCATCAACTTTATTCTTTTTACGATTCAGTTGGTGCCTGCAACAACTCTACATAAGCCACAAAAAATGATGGAAAAGCCAGAGCACCAGTTTCACAGATCCAAAGAATTTAACAAGCTTCCTTACAAGACAACAGTGCACAGAGAACTTTCTAGAATGTCACCAATATACAAAGCAAGAAGGGAATAGATGATTCCAGTGCAGAGCTTGCTATTCTCAACTAACTATATGGTCCATTGTTTATTAAGTATTGTTGTTGGAAGGAACAAAATTGTTCGCTTTGTATTATATAATATTCTCAAACTTATACCTTGCTTATTCTAAAGCCTTCACATTCTCTCTTTCCTCACACTTTTGTCTCATACACCTGATTTCAACAATAATCCACCTCCAATTGTGCAGGAAACATTGGGTATAAAGTACACACTACACACCAAAGCACAAAACATGAGATAAAATTATCTATGAGGAGAGGTGGGCTTATATAATCACTCACACATTTAAAACAAATGAGGCAAAGCCACATTCTCCAAAGACCATTGATCACTGAATAGCAAATAACCTAGAGTAAACTTAAGACGCTATAAATCACAATATAATGGACCTCAACACAGTGTCTCAGAAGATGCCTTACGACACAATGGCATGCTAACCTTCCACACACAACTTTGAGAGCATGGCAACCTTGAATATGACCAGACAAGGAATCAAGAAAATGATAGCCTCAGCTATCAGTAACCACTACCTATAAAATAAATCTGTTTTAAGTCACGACTTCATCTGACAGGTAGATTCTACATACCACGGAGTACAAAGCTGGCAAGTCCACTCTATAAACAATTTAGTGTATAAAAATAAACAAATAAACCCTCCGTTTTTAATTTTTTTTAAATTTACACACTTCTCTTGTAACGGAAACCAAGAATTGTATTAAAAGTTAGGAGAAAGATAATAGAAAAGTGTGAAAGTGAAAATTAAAAAATAAAAGTTGTGAGAGTAAATGTGGTGTGTCCTCCTTTTTAAAAATGATAAGTTGAAAGTGAGTAAAAAATTTTAAAAATCCAAAATAAGTGACTAAATTAAAAGAAAATGAAGGGAGTACATAAATAATTTAAGTAGGACTCATACCTCATAGCTACCACCTCAATCTTTGCAAATTTCTCAAGCATGTTTTGGTCACCTAGTTGTGGGGTGCTAACAGACGGGCTAGATGCATTCATTGGACCTCCCATATTATTGACACTGACAGGAGAACCAACTCCACTTATTACTGGGGTCTTAGGAAGGGAATTTGATCTTCTCTTTGCAGCAAGTTGTGCCTGATGTTGGGATTGCATGGAATCATTGGCACTTGATGTTATTGACGTACTATAACCTGCTGGAATTGATGTCACAGCTGATTTTTCTCTTTGCAATTGTCCAAGGGTAGCAGCTGAAGGAATTGCCCCATACGGTGTCCCCATTGAATTACAAGACATCTCAGAATATTTGGCAGTTAATGGTGACTGAGGTACAGCACCAGCAGAAAAACGCGGACTCTGAATCGATTTCCTCTTTGGAAATTGTTCTTCCTTTTTAAAATCTTTCTCAACTTGCTGGCTGAGATTATTCCAGCTCGCCTGTTGAATAGTTGACCTCAAGAGCGGATGTTGCTGAAACCTTTGTTGGAGTCTCGGGTCTATGTGACCATTTTCGGCTTCCATCATCTGCATATCAGTTTTGACTACATTGGGATCTGCCTTCTCTAGTTTCACACCATCCTGATTGTTAATCCCCTCACCACCTAGCTGAGGATATCTTTGCAAGACAGCATTAGGATACTGGATTCCTCTTGCATTTGGTGGTTGTTGCATAAATTGATTCCTCCATTGCACATCTGATGCTTGAAGGCCATCCATAAAAGAACCAATTTGTTGGTGCTGAACACCATCAGGACCAACAGATCCAACCCTTGCCCTCTTACTAAGATTGGAATATTGTGACAACTGCACTTCTTGACCTTCTAATTTTCCAAGAACAGATGTGCTCATATCAGCATATGATATTGGCATATCTTGACCAGCAGGTGAGGCTCCTATTGCATTCGAAACAGGATCATGCATATTTCTCTGATTCCCTAACCCTGCTTGAAATGTTAAAATTCAGAACTTAAATTAATCACAAGAAATTTAGCATAATTCAGAGTTTCGGGATCTTAAACTTAACAAGTAATTAAGGCCAATACCTTGAACAGAAACATTATCTTGGATATGCTGAGACATCAAATCACCTGATGTTGGCCCCACCTCTCCAATCCTGTAGCTTGAGCTTTCAGGTGCCCTATCTATGCAAATTTTCTTTCCATGTGGTCGATTATTTGATGTAACAGTAACCTCGGGAATTTGTCTCATTCGCCTCTTTCGTGATCCCCTCAGACCTAAGTCAAGCTATAATAAAATAAAGTTAAGGGATCTCACCAGATTTCTCAGTTACAGATACATAATCATATTTTAAAAGCTCAAAAAGAACCCATTTTAACTTTATACCTTCAAGGAAACTGGATTCTTGCAAAGCCTGTCCAACTTAGGCACTGGATCAAGACACAACTTTGGTTGCAGTGCTTTTAGTATTCGCGATTCTACTTCCTATGTCATGTGACGAAAGGTCAAACTCACACAAGGGCGCAAAATTATCTTCCCAGTGAAGATTTTTATAGAAGATAACTTACCATCAGATCCCCATAAGTCCAAGAATCATCCGCCATTAACGGAATATCCTTCACAACATTCTCCAAGGACATCTTTAAGTGCACCTTATTGATAGTTGCAGGTCCATTACTTGATGGAACATTGGATGTTGAATCAGACATGCCTTTTCGGTAATCGCGAACCTGCAAATAGTTGTGATCAGAAATTGGTACTTTATGAAAATATTGATTGTAAGATTGCATACAGCCATGTCCATGATGGGTGCATGATCTAATCATCAGTATGATAACAATGCTTGTATGGAGATATCCAAATCATCACATTGTTGCCCTTAAGGCCTTATGTTGGACTAATAATAAACAACTACTAATGCAAGCACAGGCAATGCCCGGGGTAGTTGCATGTATATGAAACAATTAAACATTATATAATTAAAATTATAAAAATATCTATATTTTTCTTCAATAATTAAAAATAGGTCTTTAATAATTTATTTTTAATTACTTTTATATGATGCGCTTGTTGTATAGTGGCTACTCCGAGACATAAAAGGTAGCAAATATTTTATAACAATAAATGAAATAGAATATTACAAGATAAGAAGTAAAACAGTATATTGATGTTCCTTAGCATATGCTTACAAATGATAATATAGCAGCCACAGTTGAAATAAGACAGTAATGCTCATAAGTGTGATTTTGTATCCTTCATTTCTTATTATATTCGATAAAAATAATAAATCTTAAACAAAATAGAAATTTCTCCCTCCGACCAAAATGAAATGTGCCCCATACTTTGAAAATGGTAAAAAGAATATAATTTTAATCTGTGTTTAAATACGGTGCTTTATTGTGGTAGGATTTTCAAATATCCTAATAATACTCCTCCATTTTTTTAAATAAAGAATTTGTAGCAGTGGACACCATAGATTATCATCCACTGCTACAAGCAACCCAACATAACAGAAGCCGAAAAAATAGAACTGAAAACATTACAGCAGCAAGCTCCCTACTTACACTTAAAAAATAGACACTGCCTTGTGAATGCTCCACCAGAAATCAAAAAAAGAAAAGAGAGGAAAAAAACATGGAACTAATTCCAAGAAATACAAAGCAGACCAAGGTACATAAGCTTAATCACCAATGCAGACAACATCCTCAAGAAAACTAAAAATCCTGCTTGGCTTTGTGAATTCTTATCACAAGTTCCAAGGGGTCAACAAACAAAGCTTATCAACATATATTGACAGGTAAAGCAAGGAAATGATCCCTTTGAAAAAGAGGAAATTAAACCTTTTATCTCTCAAAAAATAACAAACCAAAATATGCAAAGAGTGAAATCAAGGACAGTGCTGTGTAATTCTAAAATGTGCAGGTGATACGTCCCATCAAATTTTCTACTATATATATATTTATATATACACACGCATATAGTAGAGTTATGTTCATCAAACCTCAATATCTATGCTGATGGCAGAAGGTAGGCAGCATAAGCATAACATAACATTACAAAAAGAAGTTGCATTTCAAGTCTCATATCACTCACCTCACATGTGAGTGCACCTTCGTTAAACTTGCATGGTATATCCTCCAAAATACTTCCAGGCAACCGACCGGACTCAATAGCCTCCACATAAGATTAAGATTCGACAAAAGAAAAAAAAAATCAGTTCTCATACCATGAATAATTTAGAATGGAAGTCAAAGAATAAAAGCAAAAATATCAACAGGACACTAACAGAAGATAGTTCCACAGCTACACAACTTATAATTAAACCCTTTACCCTCCAGAAGCCATACTAGTCAAGAGCTGAAATTTGATATTGTTTTATCTAGATTAAATATAGCAATGCGTTATGGAACATTTAAAACATACCTATGTGTACACCATATATGAGATGTAAAATGTCAAAGTGAACGACTTAAAGAAAACCCTTTTGCTATACTAGGAAAAACAGATATACTAAATAACAAATTAGGTATCTGTATTGTAATGTCTCTATGCTTCTTTACTGCAAAATGCTTATAAGCTAATTAATAAAAGAGTCAACATACTGTGAATAGAACTTCTGAGGTCCGGTCATAGGGATGTAATATCTTTGAACCTTCTTGAAATCCAGCATGAAGCCCGCTATCATTCTGAAAACCCATTATAGTAAGCAACTGCTTCAGATGGAGCAAGAACTACTTCATCATTAAAAAAAATTATACAGCTAGGGTGATGAATTAACAAACCTCTGAGGGCTTTCCAATTGAATATCCATCAGGGTAGAGATTCAGAATGAAAGAAACTTCACCTTCTGAAAAAAAAAAGAAGACAGGATGCTCAGAAACTATGACATCAAGAATAATTAGTAACATGCAATTATACAATTTGCCTCTTACCAGCAGAAATATGATGCCTTTCTGATGACAGAGATGAACCCGAGAGACCAACTGCATCTTCATCTTTCTGCTGTTTCATTCAAAATTTCGAAGTATACTTTATTGTATGATGCAATCAACAGTTATAAACATAATGTAGAGAGAATAAGCAATCATGCAAGCTGCTAAAGTCTTCATCTACACACAACTTCATTGGAGTAGATGATAAAATACTCCCAGCAAAAGTGCAAATCCAAGAAATGTTACCGGTGATAGAGCTACTGTGTATAATAAATCATTACGATTATTTATTGAGCGCAGCAACCACATATAACTTCCATAGCTCCATCAGAGAGAGAGATAGACCTAAATCTACTGCATCTGTCCCACTTTAATCGGCCACAATTTTGTTTTGGGATTTCCCATTTCCCAAATTAATAGGCCACTCTCACATCTACTAAGTTACATTTTAAATTTTCCCACTCTAATCTTGTTATCCTTAGGATTTGATCCATATTACCATAATAAGATACTTGTTCTCAACAATTTTTACAAAAACCAAGAATATTCAAGTGGATTCCTATAAAATAACCTCGAACCCCCTACCCAAATTAGATCCTACACTCGGGAGCATGACGACAAATCGACAACATATACATATTATGTAAAGAGCATTAACAATAAATTCAATGATTAACAAGAACCCATATCCCCCCCCTCCCAAAAAAAAGGCTCAATTTTTTACCAATAAAACTCAAAAAAAATCAAAAATTGAAGGTAATTAACCCGCTACTAAAAACCAAATTTAGCTCCCACCAATTAAATTCGCATATAACCCCAACTTTAACCCATAAAAACCAAATTAAAGCAACAAAGCAAAATTTCTGCTACTTATTATTAACTAAAATTATGGGAATTGGGAAAATTGTGAATAATTAAAGAAAAAGGAACTTACATCAGAATCGTGTTTGGAGGGAATTCTAGAAGTTTCGAGAGAGTGTTCACCGTCATCAATGGCGAGAGTTGACTCGGAGATCACAGGCTTCGGCTTAAACTTGGTTCCTCTCTTAGAGATTTTGAACGAAACCCCCATTTTTTCAAAAAAGAATGATTCTTTGTTTATTAAAATCAATCGAAAATTGGGGATTTCAAAATTGATTGAACTTTGAACATCTGGGTTTTCGAGGAATGGAGCTTTGATTTAGGATTTTAGGGGGAAATTCAGAGATTTTAGAGAGAGAAAGAGAGAGCTCCTGAGATGAAGTAACGAAGCGAAGGAGAAAATTGAGAGCAAGAGTTCGATAAAATAAAAAACCAAAAAAATTAAAAATAAAGATAAATACTTGAGGCTTGTTAGGTTGAACGTATGAATCGCAAATTCTTGAAAATTTGATTTCCCATAAAATTGAACTTGTTAGGAAATTCTAAAAAGTGTTTGGTTAATCAAGAAAAGTGGAAATTCCTATGGGAAGTTCCACTTACCTAGATCCCCCTAGGTAATTTACTTCCTCCATTTTGTGTGAAGTGGAAATTCATGGGAATTTCTATTTTCCATGAATTTGTCAACCAAACAACTCCAAACAATTTCAATTTCTAGGAATTTCAACTTTCCATATTTTTTATTTGCCAACCAAACAACACCTTGGTATAAAAATATAAATTAGTTTTTTTTTGGGTGAGAGTAAAAGAACGATTTCCCTTAATATTGTTGAAATAAAAATAAATTCCCATTATGCTTCGTTCTAAAAATAAATTCCAAAAGTACTGTGCACGTAGGATTGGTTTTCGGTTTAGTTTAAAACCGCTAACGATGTTAGCGGTTTTGTAATTTTTTAAATTAAAGTCAAAGAGACCTGTTTTTATTGAAAGGCGGTCTCTTTGAACTTGTCAGTATAATTTCCATCGCTCTGTTTTCTACCTTTAGACTAAATCTTATGAATTAACCAAGGACGCAAAGAGACCAGTTATTAGTTAGGTGTGGTCTCTTTTCTAAAATCGCTAATGGTGATAGCAAATTTTACAACCGCTATTACCATTAGCAGGTTTAGAAAAGAGACCGCACCTAACTAATAACTAGTCTCCTTGCGTCCTCTTTTCTTGCTTTAGGCTAAGACTTGTGAATTATAAGGATGCAAAGAGACCTGTTATATTTTAGGTGCGGTCTCTTTTCTAAAACCGCTAACGGTGATAGCGGTTTTAAACTACAACAACTATTACCATTAGCGGTTCTAAGCTGAACAAAAAGAAGAAAAAAAACTAAGCCCAATATCGGTCCTACGTTGACAATATCTAGTGAAAACTCATGTTAATCTTCAGGATAAATTTTGCCCGTTTATCTTCAGGGTATTATCGGTATAACACATTAATACTAAGGAGTTTTTGGCCAATTCATGCTGGTTACTTGGCTCCTTGCGTGTGTTCCTTGCCACGTCCGTAGCCGCGTTTAATAACCCCACGTTAACACCGTCAACTTGTCTTTACTTAACTCTGTTACTAATATTTACCCCTTTTACAGCTGTGTATAATTGTTGCCCCTTTTCTTAATTTTATTTTTGGGAAATTCTCAACGGTAACCCCCAACTTTTGCTACACATTAACGGTAACCCCCTTTTTTGGATTATACAAAATGACAATACTTATCTTTTTTCCCTTAATGTTGACATCAATGATGGTGTCTTAACATAAAATTAAACTATGGTTAACCAAAATAGCGAAATGACATAAATGCCCCCTTTTTATTTCACCCAACCATCCGATTTTAATTCCCTCCATTTATCTCTCTCTCCTTCTTTCTCCCTCTTCATTACTCTTCATCTTCTTCCTTCTGCTAGCTTTCCCATCAAAAGGTTTATCGAGACACAGAAAAACGCAGAGCATTGAATGCGAACTCTATAATACCATAAAAAATAGACGGTGATAGTCATTTTTCTTCGAAGTAAAGGGGGATTCAAACTTTTTTGATTTCAAAATTGCGACTAGGGTATTCAAGTTTGGGCTAAGAATCTGGGGTACCTGGTGAAAGATCGAATCTTTCTACATCATCTTGCCAAAAAGAAGTTCAGGTATGCATCCAAAACCCTAATTTGTATATAATGTTTGAGTTGTGCATGTTATGTACTATGTTTTGGCATGTAATCATTTTATTGCATGTTTTATGTGGTTGTATTGAAGTATTATGCCCTAAAATGAAATTTTTTGTTGTCTTGTTTACTGATTTGTGTTATGGACTTGCTTGTGTGTGTTTGTGCTTGGAATATGGTATGGTGTTAGAATTTTGATTTATTTTGTAAGCCAATTGGACCTGAAGTTCGTTTTTCCATATTTGACTTAGTGTTTTAGACGTTTATTACTTTTGATTTGTTTTTTCTTATACATTAAATACATGATTGATATTTTTCGTATGTATCACTTTTACTCTTTTTTTTCTGACGAATTTCTTTATATTTTGTGTTAATTTTTGTTTTTGGCTGGAAATGCTTATTTATTTTCCTGTAGAATATGTAATGGTTCTGTTAACTATAGATTTCTACGTGTTTAAATTACTTTAAGAGTAATTGGGGCTGTCCGTTTGTCCTTTCCAGGTAAGGAAGGTTGACATGTTGGATGGTGTTACAATCTTGAGGTCTGAGAAGGTCAAGGATGAGCCATTGGTTATTGCTTTGCTCTTCTCGTAGTGATCTAATAGTCACTATTGTGTGCTTCAGGTCCAAAAGAGGCGTATCTATGATATTACCAATGTTCTGGAGGGTATTGGTCTCATAGAAAAGAAGTTGAAGAATAGGATACAATGGAAGTATGTATGACTTGACATGTGTGTGTGTGTGTGCACTATATATATCAGATCCTTATTTTGGAGAATTGAGCTAATGCTTGACTAATTGAAAAGGGGACTTGATGACTTGATGTCTCAGGGTCGGGTGAGGTCGATGATAGCATCACTAGTCAACAGGTATAGATTTTTTTATTCCAAAATGTTTTTCTAGCATGGTTGCAAGCCTTGCAGAAAACTAGCAAAGTATAAAAGACCCATAACTTGTTCTCTTATGTTCTCACTTTTACAATTTTTTTTCTTGCAGGCAGACGTTGAAAACCTTTCTATGGAAGAACGCAGACTGGATGAACAAATAAGGTTAATTCATTTTTTAAACAGAACAAATGTTACCTCCCGATGAGGAACAATCCCTCTTTGTTGATGATGATTAGAGGCAGCAACAAGCATGAAGGATAGAAGGATGATGATGATTGAAGCCAAGAAAACGTTTTCTGTATTATGTTTTTTAAGGGCTTTTATCAATTCTAATTTGCTACTTTATTCATGGACTGATTGTTTAATTATAGATTGTAATAGACAATTGTTAGATTTATTTGGTTGAGGAACTTTGTTTTTTAATGTATTGTATGACTGCAGCTTTTTTAAATTATCAGGTTGTATGATTGTATGATTTGTAATTTTGTATCAGGTTGTATTTTTTTTTTATTATTTTAATTATGGACTTATTTTAGTTATCATCATACATTGTTAAATTATTATTAATTTTATTGGGTAAGTGTTTCTATTTTTATAAAAAGAAAGGAAGTAAAAACAAAAAACTACTAAAAAGTAAAAATAGATTGAAAGCAGGTTTTAAAGGACAAAAAAAAACAGCTTATTGGTTCGGTTTAGATATTTGGTTCGGGTACCTGTATTTTCGGGTATCCGAATTTAGGGATACCCGTTCCTTATCGGATCGATTTTAATTATTGGTTTTGTCCTTATTGGTTATCGGGTACCCGAACCGATAACATTATCGGTACGGGTATCCGTCCCATGCTCTCCCCTAATATCCTTACCAAATCATTGAACCAGTTACTCTGGTAAAGATATGGAGTACAAATGTCTGCGAGTACTCTATACAAGATGAGGTCAAAGGCTCTGAGGGATATTAATGGGGGGTCATGACATCTTATATGCCCAGCTTCCTGACTACAGTGAAATGGTGAGATCAACAAATCCAGGTTCTTCTGCATCCTGTGCTTGGACACCTCAAGATCATATTAACAGGCCTCTGCAGTTCCTAAGTATCTTCATATCATTCAAAGGTTGTATAGATGGGTTGCTAGCCGGATGTAGAAGCTTCATAGGTGTGGATGGGGCTCACTTAAAGGGGAATTATGGTGGTGTCCTGTTAACTGCAGTAGCACTGGATGCAAACAATGAGCTATTCCCCTTTGCTTGGGCAATTATATCAGTTAAGGACACAGATAATTGGAAGTTCTTTGTCTAGCATTTGAAGAACTTGCTCAAAGTGGGAGAGGTGATGAGTGGTGCATTATCTCAGACAGACAAAAATATGAAACTTAGCCTCAATTTTCTTTGTTAACTTCCTTGAGCATTTCTTTGTCTTACAACTATCTTTTTTTGTGTAGGGTATTGATACTGCATTAATTGAGTTGTGGCCAAAGGCTGGAAGAAGATATTGCTGCAAGCACCTGGTAAAGAATTGGAAGAAACCATTCCCTGGTCCTTTGATGTTTAGCCTGTTCTGGAGGGCTTGTGGGGCCTATTCTGAGTTCACATTCAAGAAATCCATGGAACAGTTGCAAAAGGGCAATCCAGCTGCTTTGATATGGTTGTCTAAAGTTGGGGACCAATCAACATGGACCAAGCACAAATTCAATGAGGCTATCAAATGTGATGTAAACAAAAGCAACTTTAATTTGTGGAAAGCTTTAATGCCACATTGGGTTGGACACAGCAAGACTTGTTGTAACATATTCTTTGTTATGTACATGTAATGTGTCTATATTGGTGAATGTAGCATTAACATTTGTGGTGATTAATGTTAGGAATTAGGAGAATAACAATGGTCAGGTTGTGTACTAGGAAGCAAGCTTTTGCAAACTGGATAGATGATGATATATGTCCAAGCATCAAGGCAAGAATTAAAGTGATAACTCAAGAGTCCAGGTGTTGCAAGGCATACCCTAGTACTGATGGGTATGAGGTCACTGATGGAAAATCAGTGTTCCCTGTCAGTTTTGCTGAAAAAAGGTGCTTATGTGGGTTATGGCAGATTTATGGAATTCCTTGCAAGCATGGCATGAGAGCCATCTTGCATGCAAGGCTTGATTCCCAAAACAGTTTGTACATGAATGGTACTATGTGAGAAGGTACAAAGCTGCATATGCTGGTGGAATCAACTCCATCCCTGACAGTGGTTAATGGCCAGACTTTGACATGCCTAAAATTGAACCTCCTGCCATGAAAAGAGGAGTTGGCAGGCCTTGTAGTGAGAGAATAAGGGATGAAGATGTAGAAAGGAAGGGCAAGAGAAGCAAAACCATTAAGTGCAACAACTATCAATGCTATGGGCACAACTCAACAACATGTAAAGGAGGCCCCACTGCAAAACAAGCTGTTGTTGCTTTTGCCTCTACAAAGGGTAAAGGGAAGCAAGCTGCTGTTGCTTCTGCTACTGCAAAGGATAAAGGCATTGC